GCACTTGTCGTGCGTGTGTGGATGTGCTAGGTGGGAGCTCACCTGGCTGTGAGCTGCGCCTTGTTGTCCTCCTTTTTTGTCTCACGCAAGGCCTGTGTGCTTTGCATCATCATGTCAGCGGACACTCATCACGTGTCTCCTCGCTCCTTCTTCTTTGGGTCTGGGACTTTCTTGGCCACTTGGTTAGTAATGCCCCAGTCCAGGTGGAGCAGGCGGGAGTAGGCGTTGGCGTCCTGCGGGTTCGGGTAGAGGCGCAACCAAGTCGACGAGCGCGCTTTGCTGCGCTTCTGCATCTGCCTGTGATCCAGGACGTCTGGGAAATGTGGATCTGGGCTGGCTTTACTGTGAGCCTACAGACCTACCCTTGATGGCCCGGGTATTATAAGGAAGAACCCCAAGCCTGGAGGTCGTTTGGGTTGACAGGCGAACCCGAGACCCGAGACCAAAACCCGGGTTTCCGGAGTTTAGGCCCAAACCCTGAACCCTGAGCCAGAGAACCCAATGTGCCAGCGCTTGCTGAGGGTTCCCAGGTCCCATCGCGCTCGAGTCATTAATTTCCAACCCCAAACCCGTAAGCGCCTAACTTCAGAAACACCTATACCCTTCAATCGCAATACCGACATCCTGATCCCGAGCCCAACATTCTCCCCAACACCGAGAGTCCTACAAATTGCCTTACAACCCGGCCACCCGCTGCAACGCCACATAAGTAACTCCAGCGCCGAATATATACCCTAGAACCCATAATGTCATGTATGCTGCTACCTTAACCTCCCAGAACCTACATTTTTGTAGGTTCTTATTATAAACCCTAATCTGGAATTTATAGGGACCCTACAAAAAAGTAAGCTTTGGTAGGTTCGGGTATAGTTTTAACAAGATATCCCCCAACACCCTGAACTGAGCCCTTCCCGGGTACCCTGCAAGTTGCTCAGCACGCGTGCTGAATAGCCTGGGCTGCGCTCAGCTTCAATGTCAAGTCTGGGGTTTAGGGCTTATGGTAAATGAACATGCATAAGGAAGCAATGTGTTCGTTTTATGCCAAAAGATGCTGGTATATTTATGCGCGCTTTTGGTTCCTGTTGGTCTTACTTCCCTATGCCCTAAAACCTAAACCCTAATCCCCAAACCCTAATCCCTAAACCCTAAATCCTTAAACCCTAAATCCCCAGACCTTTGATGTTCCCCGAGGCTGCAGGTCACAGTCTTGAAGCCACAAGCCGCTCGCAACTGCCTCCGAAGCCGGCCGAGACTAGACGCCTGAATGTTCCGTCTTCTTCTTTTTTGTCTGGTGATTCTTACGTTGGTCAGTTTGTATTACCACTATTACTACTAGTATTCTGATTCTTCGTAGGATTATTATGATTATGATGATGTCAGTGCTAATTATGCTAATTCTTACCAAGCCAATGAACAGAGTCCCCTCCTCAAGAGTTGCAAAGCTTCCTGGAATGGAACATTTCAACCGATGTTTTGGCTGTGTGTGGGACTACCCAAAGTTCCAAGATCAATCCAGACGCGTCCTGCCAGACACGGCAAGAAACGTTGCAACACACCAGACCAGTGGCCCAAAAACATCGTCGGAATGCAACTGCGCAACCCTTCCATTCTGGACGGAGGTCCCGAGTCCTACAACAAGGCCGCCAGCCTCCGCATCCAAGACGTACCCTTCAACAGCGACATCCCCCAAAAACACAACAGCAGAAGACCGTACAGTAGAGTTTAGGCGTTAGGGTGCAGAATCGCATAGAGCAACAGAAGCGCAACAGTGCATGTTTAGGCAAGTCGCCGCCATAGCCATCGCAGCACAGGTAGCCCTGGCGCATGGGATGCGCTTTGAACCCCTTCCCAGTTTGTCACTCGAACTGGGAAGGAACCCTAAGGAATAAGTATAATAGGGAACCCTTAAAGATTCGAGTTTGGGGAAGTCTTGGAGTTGAAACTCCGACCTCCAAACCCTAAGTCCGGAAGCGGAAGTGCCACTACCGTAACATTGGGCCTGAATGACTAGAATAAGGCTTTTGGGGTATATTATACGATCATTATAATAACAATTGATACTATACTATAATTCCATAATTGTAAAAACAGGTAGTAAGGAACCCCTATAATTATAATAACAGGAAAGAAGGAACCCCTAGACTCGTATTGGTAAGTTTATTAAGGCCTCTACAGTATGCTTAACCCGGAACCTGCCACCTTAAGCTCCCGGAACCCAGGCTTTAGGGTTCAGGGTTTAGGATTTAGGACTTGGGGTTTCGGGTTTAGGATTTAGGGTTTAGGGTTTAGGAATTAGGGTTTAGGATTTAGGGTTTAGGGTTTAGGATTCGGATCTAATTTTTTAGGGTTGGGTTTAGGACCTTAGCCTTATCAAAAGCCCTTGCAATGTCCTGCGAACGACCCGTGTAGTAACCCTGATGAGAATAACCAATATGATACACCCTGACTCTCAAAACCTCCTCAAACCCCAGCAGCCTAAACTCTAACAGCCCTAAGACCCCATAAGCCAAAATTTTGCCTGGGTCAGTCCGGTTGTGGTAACTCCTACAGCAACCCTGAATAAGTGAGATTTCTAGAACAGACCCTGAGCCCTAAACCCGCCTAAAACATCTTGTAATGACAGCCCCTTGGCCCGGCCGTCAAGACGATTCCGACACCCAAAACCCCAAAGCCTACAACCCTATAACTTATAACCCTAGACCCTACAACCTTATAACTTATAACCCCAAACCCTACAACCTTATAACTTATAACCCTAGACCTCAACCCTACAACCCGGAAGCGCTAAACAGCTGCCCTACAACCCGGAAGCGCTAAACAGCTGCCTGGGCGAGCCCCTTGGCCGTCAAGACGACTCCGACCATGCCAAGGGCTGCGGCCAGGATCGCCAGCATCACATCCCAGGTGAAGTGACAGAACCTTGAAGCTTCCGACAACGGCTCCTTTTAAGGGCTCCTCTAAAGAAATCCTTCAAGACGCCATTAAAGCAACCCTCAAAGCAACCTTAGAGAAACCCTTAAAAGGAACCCTTAAGGGTTCCTTTAAGGGTTTCCTGTGAGGGGATTTAGGATTCAAAGTTGCAGCCCTTCAGGGTTTCAAGGTTTATCCCGGCTTGCTGTGAGGGTGTTCGGGTTCTCAAGGTTCTGGGTTCAGCGCTCTTGGCTGGCTCTTGGGATTTAGGTCTTGGGGGCTTGGGACTGCAAGGGGCTTAGGGCTCAGGGTGTTGTGCTGTTCATGCTCCTGGAGTGTGTTGTTGTCGTTGTCGCTGTCGTTGTCGTCGTTGTTGCTTTGTGCTCTTCTTCTTGTCGGCTCCATGCATCGCAGGGCCGTATGTTACGTGCCAGGAAACGATGGCTCTCAGTACATACAAGAACCCCACCCACATCAACTGAATCCGTAGCCTCCCCACCAAGACTAGCAACCCCTTCCCATCCCGACTGAATAATTCATCTACTTGTAATGCGCAAAAGCTCCTGGTCTAATCATGTAGGACTCTGTGTACATCCTGATGCAACATAGCAGCTCACACTTGCAGCAGCACATGGCTCCGAAATGGCAAGAGCAGGCAAGGATTGCTGGAAAGTATGAAGGATAGCGATCAGACCGTCGGGGAATGTGCTGTGACAAGGCTTGTGCGGGTCAGGAACCCTAAACCCTAAACCCTAAGCAAACACAAACTGATAGGCTTCGGGCAGGCGGAATCGACACTCAGGTCCAAGCATTGAAGAGCGGGAGTTTCTCTGGTTATGTGGCGTGCAAGGGTTTGGGGTTTAGGGTTGAGTATCTACCCAGCCCCCCTGAACCCTAAACCATCCGAACTAGTCTATACCGAATCCTACACTCCTGAAATATGAGGCTTCATGCTTCACCAACACGTCATGATTCCCAGCGGCTTCCATGAACATCGGCACCACGAAAACTTCATCACTATAACGTAGACTCTGAAGCCTTAACCCCACGCTCCAGCGTACGACCTAACATTAAACCCAAACCTGCTTGGTCACAGCTCACGATCCCGGAGCGGCTGCAGGCGAGTGACCCCATTTCGCGGGGTTCGGGGTCCGGTTTAGGGGTATGGGATTACGGGTGTAGGCCGAGCTGCAAACCCGGTGCATCGAAAGCCCAGGCTTGTAAGGTTCCGGATGGGAGGCTTAGAGCCCAAGTAAGGTAACCTGAATGATACTTTATCACTAGACGAGGGGTTTGCAGTTTCTATGCTGCTAAGGCTTTACTTCAGGGCTCAGGGGACTTAGTAAGTGGATAGATAATTGGGGCTAGAAGTCCCCTAAGTCTGGTCATGATAGGAAGAGCTCTACTCATAACCTTACGGACAAAGTCTCTTGGGCCATCAAGTAAACTAGGCTCCAGAAGAGCCCCTTAATGACCCTAAACCCTAAACCCCTAAACCCCTAAACCCTATCAGGGTACCCTGAAGGGCTGCAACTTCTTGCTTGGGTTTAGGGCTCAGGGTTTTAGGGTTTTAGGGTTTCAGGGTTTTAGAGTTTGAGGGTATTGGGTTTAGGTTTTAGGTTTTGGTGTTTGAGTATTGCCATGCTGGTAAATCACGAACCCGAACCCGATCACATACCCTAGATTTACATGCTAAGGCCTACCGTTGTAGGGTTCCTTACTATGATTTCCGTATATGAGACCGTTATTTCGGCTTCAAAGCCTTGGGGGTTGGAGGATTTTCTTTAGAACCGAAGTCTCCTTCTTCAGAAGTCCTTGTGTTAAGGAACTTTTTACATGGGGATTCTAGCTTAACGTCACCTATTTTTCTGAAACTGCCTCTCTTCGGATTTGTGGCTTCGTGTCTTAGGCGACTGCTTCTCATCTGCCTGCGAAGGCAATTCGGATCATGTTTGCTCTAGGTTGGGGGTAGGGTTTAGGGTTTCCGATTTTGGGGTTTCGGGCAGGCCCGCAGCCGTTATTATAGCTGCTGCATCACAAAAAGCCCAATATGCACAGCAACTCTGCACCTCCTTTTGTCCCTGCTCCGCTCATACGGGTGGGTCCCACTGGGTGTGGTCGCGAAGTGGATCCCAGTAGTACTTCTCACCTGCAGGCACCAATGTCTCTGTGTCATTCACACTTTCACAGCTATGTATACATAAAATACGTAAATCTTTCACTTGCAGATTTTCCCGAAACCGTAATTTTGAGAAACGAAACTCTAAACACAAGTCCACGAACCCCATGAAAATGAAGACAATTAAGACTCCCACCTTCCTCCCGTTTAGAAGCTCTCATGCGTGGCAACAAATGCAAGGAACCTCTCCGGAAACGGTTCATGGAAGTTAGAGGCTGCAGGGCGGAGGGCCCATGCGGTTTGAGGGCTTACTTAGGTTGTTCGAGGGTGCAAGGCGCAGAGTTTGAAGTCCACAGCTTAGTCCGACGTCATGTTGCAGCTTGACGAAGAGGTCAGGCTTACCAGGGTCGGCAGATATCCCCGTATGGTCCCTAAATATACGGGTATAGGTAGATCTATGGATGGATGGATCAATGGGTGGATGAATGGACGGCTTGACGGTTGGAGGGATGTATGGATGGATGGATAGATGGATGGATGGGCAGAAAAGATAGATGTTCAGGTAGATTTAGCCTAGTAAGAGCATGTAGACGTTAGCCCGTTTTCGTAGAAGGCTTTGGTATTCAGACACTTACCCTAAAACCCGAAACCCAGGCCCTAAACCCCAAAACCTCAAGCCGTAAAGCCCTAGACCCCCAAAAGGGCTTCTTCGACCTTCTGACTGTGAGCTTCTTTCCCACAGCCGGAGCTCCCCAAAACCAAAGCTCGAGCTCCCCTGGTGATGATGATGGTGGCCACTTCACCGCTGCAAACAGAGCAAAGACCCCCTGTAGGATGCCCCCCAAATAGTGCTGGTGGTCCCAAGCCCCAGAATTACCCTAAACCCTAAACCCTAAACCCCCGAATGAGGGGGGGGGGGGGGCTTGGGACTTAAGCTTACTGGTATGCTATGGTGATGGCCCCTAGACCCCAAAATGATGAGGGCTTTGGACTTAAATTTCTGGTGAGGCTGAGGATGATGAGTCCTGATCTTACTTCCAATATCCCTTAATTAATTCCTAAGGAATAACGGTTTAGGGTTTAGGGATATACCTTACACTATTAGTAGGATCCCTTAATTCTTAAGGAATAACGGTTTAGGGTTTAGGGATATACCTTACACTATTAGTAGGATCCCTAAGATGAATTACGGCACACTCCTTGATTAAGGAAGATGCCTTACATCAGCTGCCTTACATCATAGTAGGATCCCTAACATGGTTTAAGGTATTTCCTGAATTACAGGACTTCGGAAGATCCGGGGGGGGGGGTCGAGGGGGGGTTAGGGCACCAGCCGAGGCCAGGGCCGTCGTCGTCTACCAGCTCCACCCAGCCTTGGGCTCCGCAGGGATGGGTGCAGAAAGTTAGGAGCTCTGGGTTGAGAGCTCGTGTAGGGCTTCTTGGGTTTAGGGTTTAGGGTTTAGGGTTTAGGGGCTTCTTGGGTTTTGGGGTTGGCGGCTTATGGTGCTTAGGGTCTTCAGATGTTTTAGGATCTAGCGAGGCTACTGGCAATACAAAAGGCTCGAGAATCAAATAGCAAGAATAACTGATGATAGCAACACTCAACCTCGCAATAGCTCTCTGGCCGTATTCAACATAGCAACAACCCTAAACGCCGTACTAACTCCTACCAAACTGTTGATCAAAGCCGCCATCCAGAGGAAGCTCCCACTGCGTGTGTCCCGTCGCGACCTTCCGGTCCCGGGCTTTGCTGTTTCGTGCTTTTGGGATTGAAGGTTTAAGGCTCGGGGTTTGAAGGTGCAAGGTTCCGATACAAAACCCCGAAATCAAGGTTTACAGTTTAGGGTTCAGGGTTTGGGAAGGAGTTCTGGGACATAAGAACCAGTTGCGAGTCAAGGGCAGTAGACCCGCGTTGAGAGGAACACTAAAAAGGAACCCTTAGGGGCTTGTCTTCCTGCGCTCAGAGATACGACGAGTGATGCACGTACACTGTACAAGCTACCCTGGAGGCTGCAGTGCTGAGAAATACTATACTCTTATAGCCCCTGTTGCAACCATACCAGAACATACCCAACAACACTAGTCTAATTAGTGTTCTTGTAAGCATACCTTTCACAGAACATACCGGACAACCCTCTTCTAATTAGGCAGGCTTTCGTAATCAACCAGAACATACCCCGAAACCCTGTTCTATTCAATTACTAAGTTTCTAAGGCTCTTCCATGCATCCACAATACTGTTTACTAAACGGCTCTGTATTCTATCAAGTATAGGGGCCGTAATAACTAGAATAAGGTCTGGGGGTATACTATACTATACTATACTATAGACATAGGAACCCCCCCCAAAAGTGGAGGTAATCATAAAGGCCCCTACAGTACGTGCATTACAGGGCCCTCTGCCCCCCATCTTCCTTGGCTGACAGCTTTGGAGCGCCGGGCGTAGCGGTAGCTTTAGGGTTTAGGGTTTCGGGTTTAGGGGTTAATGTTTACTTAGGCACCTGCCTCGCTTCGAGACCTCGATCGGTCAGACTGACCTTCATCAATTGCTGATAGATAGATAACCTAGGAGTTAGGATTAGGGGACCCTTGGGGATATAGACCCTCTCAATAGGGTCCCTTGTCAAGTAGGGTTAAGAAGGGACCCCTTGAAGGGGTCTCCCTCCTACTACCTAGGATAACCCTAGGCTCTATGATACTTAATTTAGAGAACTACCCATAAAGTACCCTTCCAGAAACCCTATAGAAACCTTACAGATCCCTTTAAGGAGCCCTTAACAGGGAGAGCTAGCCCCAAAATATAATGTTCACTAACCACCTACGCCCTCCTCAAGCCTCCAGGTAGAACCGTTCCTTCGTGTCACTGAGCTTCTCCTCCCACCTCGCGATGAATTCTAAAAAGGGTCAAGATAGCAGCCTGAATCGTTAGACTAGGGCTTAGGGTTTAGGGTTTAAGCCGTAAGCCCCCCTAGACCCAAAATATGGTTTAGGGTTTCGGGGTTTAGGGTTTTTTTGCCCAATTACGCCCAAGGAAGCCCTGGGGAGCATTATTGCACCCGATCCAGGCCGCTACATTCCGTTCAAGTCGACGGGCAAAGTTGAGAAAACAACCGCTAGGTTTCGGGTTTGGGCAGGCCCCAAAAGCTGGGATGAAGGTAGGTAGGGTCAAGGATCCCTTATAGAAGGACTCTCATTTTGGGATTATCCCGCCTTCCTTCGTCCCACCCTTGGAGCCCGTTGAGGCTTAGGGCTTCGGGCTGGAACGTCAAAAGAGACGATAACGCTCGAATTCTTCGCGAAACCGACAGTATCAATGGAATGCTTGTATCTACACTGCTCATTAATTTATGTAGGTTAGGACGCTGTCGCCTTGTGTCCACGCTGACCTTACCAGCAACATGTCGAACATAAATCCCCAATCCTACTACGCAGTACAAAACTGCAAACACTTGCAAACCCAAAGCCTACCCACCTGGCAACACCTCCCCCGCGCAAACAAAACGAGCAAGCGATCGATTCCATCTGCGGTTGGCGTAGTGACCTCGCCGTCAGTTCCGTTCAGCTTGCTGGATGCTGTACTTGCTTGCGTTGAGTGTGAAGTCTCCGCTTGCGCTCGCGTCTCGCTTCCCCACATCCTGACCAGATACTCAGCGCCGGCTGGCGGCGGACTTCTTTTTGTGTCGCGAGCTTGCATCTCAATTCTTCCACCCGCTCTTGCTCTGTAGTGATAAGCGGGCATAAGGAACCTGCTTTAGATCGGCTTTGGTTACAGTAAGGGTTTCGGGTTGTGGGCCTCTAGGTTCACGCACTTTTGCTAAGTCCACCCTAGCACTGGTTTTGGGCTTTTTGCCGCCGAGGGGTTGGGGTTTTGAGGTGTAGGGTCTGGCGATGGTTTCGGTCGGTTTACGGATTTCCCACCTCGTCCTCCGGCCCTGAGCCCTAATTCCCACGTCCCACCATGCTTAAACCCTGCACCCTGAACCGCACATGTTAAAACCTGAACCTTACACCCAGAGGCCGCGTCAAAGCATACTGTAAATCACGCAATACAAGCCCTCCGACAAGAACAAGCCTTTAGGGGTCTAGAGTACATCCCTTCTGAAGCCCACTGAAAAACCACCCTTAAACGCTACAGTTACAAGGTAATTCCCTTATGACCACTACAAGACCAAAATAACACCCCAAACCCCAAACCCTCAACCCTAAACCCCAAAGCCTAAACCTCAAACCCACAACCCTGAAAACCCGAAGCCAGTGCTCTTCCACTCGTCTTCCTAGCCGGGTGCCCCGACTTTACGAGTTTGGAAGCAGGCGCCTGCCGGCCCAAGGGTCAAAGGCTAGGAGATTCAGGGTTTAGGGTTTAGGGTTTCAGGGTTTAGGGTTTCAGGGTTTCAGGGTTTAGGGTTTGGGGTTTAGGGTTTTGGGGCTTAGGGTTTTAGGGGGTTCCTTTAAGGGTTCCTCTAAGACTCTCAGGGGTCCAAGGCTTCGGGATTTCGTGCTTTTCTTGTGTTTGACCGTCCTTTTTCAGTTTCGTATGATCCGAAAAGCGGTTTTCCAGGGTTCAGGGCTTAGGGGTTTGTGGCTTCGGGATCGAAGTTTAAGGTGTAAGTCTCAGGGATACGGTTTTGGATGTATGGGTCTTAGGCTGCGCAAGGTTTAGAGGGCTTAGGCTTAGAGCCGGAGGGCTGCGGCTTGCAAGCGTTTAGTTGAGGGTTTCGGGGGTTAGATTCCAACCAACGCAGGCTTGAGATTTCTGGCTTGCGGCTTTCCGGCTTCTTTTCGAAGGGTCGGGGGCTTGTGAATGTCAGATACTTCAAGGATCATGGGACGTAGTAACTCAGGTTGTGAATCAGGCAACTATATGATTCATAACATTACTTGCCAAGTCCCGTGATCCTCGAAGTAGAATCCTAAACTATAGAACCCTAAACCCCTTTATGGAGCCGTTTGAGGAATCCTTGAGTTACCGTAGGGCGCAGGATGGCCTTCGAGGGTTGCTAGGGCAGCTGGCCGAAGCCGGAATTCTGCGAAATGCTGGAGTTTGTTAGGAATTAGGGTCGAGGGTTCAGGGGTGGCTTGCTGGAACTGCTCGGATGGGCTCACGTAGGGGCCTCAAGAGTGAGAACAGGGTTTTGGGGTACGTTATA